TAAACCAAAAGCTCAGATAAAAGTATAATAAATAAAATAATGAATGTTTCTGTCTCTCTCTATGGAAATCCCATAGATGTTACATTATTTGTTTTCTATAAACAAAAAAATATGCAGATTCAAATTCAAAAACCTAACTGTTGAAACCAAATATAAAAACTTATATAGCAAACACATCAACTGTTGGATGAACCGAGACGGTTATAATCTCCCCGTAGTTTCTGATCCTTGCTGGAATGCATCCATTGGGCATAAAAGAGTTAATAAAATGCAACCTGAAAAATCAGTTGTCGGCGTTGTCAGGATGGAGGTGGGGTGGGACTAGATCATCGATCCAATCTCCATATATTCGACTGATCTTCTTTGATAGTTTCCATTTATGGATCTTCTTTTCCTCTCTTTCTTCTTGCATAGAAGCATTAACCAGTGTGTTAGCAGAGGATGAGTCAACAGGCTGAATGGAGAAGGGTCTTGGAGTAATGGGGCCAGAATTCGTTAACATATCCATCTCAACTCGGCCAGTAGGCATTTGCAACTCTGCCAAAAGATATAACCAAAGAGCTGATAAGATAAGATCCCATTTTTTGCCATAGAAAGCCAAAGGGAAGAAATTTAAGATTATGAGATACGTAGCACATAGAGCCCATCATTCACATATTCCGTGTTTAGTAAAAGTGGTAACGAGCAAGTTACTTTAATGTTAGGCCTATAAAAACCACGACATAGGCTAGACGTTGAAAGCTAAATACATTGTTACTTGTTTTAGATGTGAGATATGACCAAAGAGAGAAATTGCATATACAATGTATGTAACAGGAAATAGGATTAATCATAATCTGAGAACAACGAATGGCTGTGAATGTGCAAAACATCAGTCAAAGAACATTGCAACACGACAAATTCCTGGAATTATATATGGATGTAATCCAGAATGTGAGTTAATGTCAAGATTTTCATGTTTAAGGAAACAAGACACGCGTTGAATGACTGTTTTGCTTACAAACAAAACAGTAGCTAATTTTATACAAGATTCTCATCTCAGTTGAGCCATTGCAGTTCTAGCAGAGGACTTGCTTAGCAACAGAAAGTTATGCTTCTAGGCAATCAACAGCTCGTAATTATTCGTCTTAAGCTTTTACTGTTTCATTATGCAGCCTTTACTTTTTACAATTGAGACATAAGGGGATTTTGCAAGACTTAAAGCAAGAATATGAGACTATTTTAAAACGACTAAACATAGAGTCAAACTAACAACGAGATGAACTGTGTAAAACTAGTTTACCTGATTGGCCATGAGCAAAGTGACAACGATCACGGAAGGGGCATTGACCTGTTGTCTCCCACTTGCTGCATATCTTCGTCTTCCAGTATACAGGTTTAATACGGACAGCATCTGAATCAGCATTTCCATGCTTGCTAATCTCAATCAGCTCGGTATCACATCTGTTTCCAGTAGTTCCAATACTTATTGCAGAACTCTCTCTGTGCCTTGGCATGTCGGTCTTAAATTTTGGAGGACGTTCATGAAGAAAATTACACTTATCTCCATAAGGACACTCCTCTCCGTTATAAAACTTCTTGCAAATTTTCATCCTATGTATTATTTTCTGATCATCATTCCAGTTCTCTGCTCCTCTATCTTTTTCACGTACCAAGTCCTGCCAATTCGGAGGAGGCTCCCGCAGATCTTCAACACCATGAGCAAATGTACAATGTTCCCCATTCCTACAAGTTCCTTCCAAGAACTTAGCACACATACGGGTTTTGTAAAATATATGGCTCGTCCCTTTGCTTCCCGGAAGATTTGGTGGATTCACTCTAGAATTCATAGCAGAAAAAGCTGCAGCATTTGGTGAGTTGCTATCGAACTCCCTCATTCTCTTGAACGGAGGAGCATGCTCAAACTGAGAATAGGACTCAAACAGCTCATGATTCATCGAAGAATGAGGCCAAACGTCCCCAGCATCACCACCAACAAATGGCATTTGCATAAAGTGCGAGGGAACAGGCGGTTGAGGCTGATCAGAGAAAGTCATATTCCCTTTTTCTAACATCAATTCTTTAAACTAAATCCAACTCTACTCTTCTCCTCTCTAAAGAAAACAAATAAAGATTTAAAATTTAGCACAAAAACAGAGAAATTAATAAAACGCCAGTAACAAAACAGAGCTACAAATATAAAACAACAGAACACCATAAAACTAAACAACAATAACATAGCCACGTGGGGTCTAGGAAGGGTAGGATGTACACAGACTTTTCAATAGACCCTCGACTCAAAACAACATTTCATAGAAAAAAAAATAACAACTACACCTCAATCTCAATTTCAAACAAGTCGGGGTCGGCTATATGAATCATCATTGTTCCATTTAACAATAATTCATGGCATGGCATAACGAATCAAAAAAAAAAAAACTTCAACAAAAAAAAGTTCTAGGCTGAAAACAAGAATGTATAGCAAACCTGAATCTGATCTTGTTATTTAATCACATACAAGAACACCCATATGATTAATTTAAATAAAAATTCAATCTTTATAACAAAATTTAAACATGCAATTGATTTTCAATATGTAAAAAGAAAAACTCACAAATATTTGAAGCCCTAGCCGCCAATGCTAAAACCTTAACTGAGAAGCAAAATCATATAGAAAACAAGTCCAAGTTCAAAGTGGAGACAGAAACCCTAAAACCCCACCAAAACGGCTAAAACCCCTTAAATAGTTTCTTGATTATTGATAATTATGATTATCCCCTCTAATATTTGATTATTTATTTTGATTTTTTGGCTTTGGGCTTTTTTTAGAGGGTTTAAGGAATTTTCAGTTTACAAGTTTTTAATAAAAGATTTGGAAAAAGAAAACAAATTTGGAAATTTTTTAAGAAATATTTTTTATTGTTACAAAAATGTGTTGGTGGAAAAAAAAACTAGTGATGATTCTTGAGAATATGAAATAATTTATTATGAAGTTATAAACATTTATTAATTAGGCTTTTTGCGATTTTTCATAACTTTGTAAGGAGTTTATCTATTATTGGAGGTTATTTTCGCGCAATTTATATAAATGGCGTTAAAAGTTTGAAATGGCGCCAAATAATTTTATTTCTACAAATCGGATAATCTATAAAAATATTGTTATTTTAGGAGAGTGCTTACTAAAAGAGTGACTAATTTTATAGATTTGAGATATGTTTTTTCTTTTACGAAAAAAGAATGTGAGTTATTATAGTGGTGGAGATTTTAATATTTCTATCTTGAGTTTGATAACGATAGAAGTATATTTGTTTGAATGATATAATGGAAGTTAAATATAGATTATTTTCGAAAATAAAGGGATAAATGTGATCATAATTTCTTTAATTAAATTCACATGAATTTTACTTTAAGAAAAAAGTTAAAAGGTAAAAATTAAAATCATTTTCTAATCGTCATCAATAGAAGAATATATTTAAATCATTTGTGTAACTGCAAAAATCTAAAAGGACTACTTCTTTAAATTGAAGATATATATGCTCTAAATTGAATAGTATGTATAAACTATATACATAGGTATATATATTTGGACTTTTTCCATCTTTTGTGAAGTAGTATCAAATTATTTATTCCCAAAAACTTAAACATCATTTATGTACGGAGTTGATATAAAAAAGAGCAACTTTCACATAAAGCAAACACAAAAATCATATTTATATGCTATAGTTATAGTTTGCATAATTGCGCTCCATAACAAACATAAATATGTATATTTCGCTATACATATACAAAAGAAAGCAGTTGTATAATTTCGCTATACTATACAAAAGAAAGCAGTTGTATAATCTACTTTGGTATATATACATATACAAAAAGATCAATTGTATGATTTGTGTTTGTATAAAGCGAGAGAAAATTGTATATATACATCTATTTTCGTTCCCCTCTCTCCCCTCTCCCAGATCTCGCTCGCTCACTCGCCCCTCTCACTTTATACAAAAACGCAAATGCATAAAATGCGTTTGTGTTTGTATAAAGCGAGAAAGAGAGAAAGACAAAAGAAAACTTGGCAGGGGAAGATTGTATTTGTATAATCATAAGTGTATAGGACGAAAATATATGAATTTGTATTTGTATATACAATTTTCTCTCGTTTTATACAAACACAATGTATACATTTGTGTTTGTATAAAGTAAGAGAGGCGAGTGAGCGGGCGAGATCTGGGAGAGGGGAGAGAGGGGAACGAAAATAGATGTATATATACATCTATTTTCGTTCCCCTCTCTCCCCTCTCCCAGATCTCGCCCGCTCACTCGCCTCTCTTACTTTATACAAACACAAACGCATTTTATACATTTGCGTTTGTATAAAAAGTGAGAGAGGCGAGGGAGAGAACAAGAATGACGAGCGAGATTCACCAGGAGAGGCGAAATAGCAACAATTTGTTATGGGGTACAATTAAATCAAACTATATTTATAGCATTTAATTAAATTAATAGCTTGCTATTATATACAATTTTTTCTATAAAAAAATATGTAATTTGACCTTCTTAAACCGAAGCGTATCATATAAAGTAAAATGGAGGGAGTACCTACTTAACAAAATCTCAAATGGTCACCAAGAATTGTGATGGAATAAATATGATGATCCTTCTATATTCTTAATTAAAAATCTTGAGTTTCATTTAATTTTGGATATGAAAAAAAAAATTGATACTGAATATTTCCCCTTACAAGGACCCTACATTATATAATTTAAATTGATTGAGATTCTAATATAAATATCGAACATAATACAAGACTGCAATAAATTCAAAATGAAAATAGATAGAAAACACAATGCATTATAAATAGTGTTAGAAATTAGAATGGTAGGTAAGTCATGCAAATCTATATCATGGTTAGTTCTAAACCTGATGTTTTTCATGAAACATCAACACTTATATATATCATTATATTATATATGGTATATAATCATTACAATTATTTTCAATAAATTGATTGGGTCTTTAAATAAGTTTTCTTTCGAAAATAATGGCATTCAAATTTATAGCCATACTGTTATTGAAAATAATAACTTTTGCAACACTTGTTTGGGGAGAAAATGGTCTTGCAATTAAAAGCATCCAGGTATGTTTGTATCTTTATGAACTTTATATTTTTTTTAAAAAACATATACTTTCATTTTTGTTGGCTTCTAGCCTTCTATATAATAATGGGCCTTAAATAAGTTGGATTCTGTATACGTAAGGCCCATTTAAGATGAGTCAACAATTTTTTTCATACATAAAGTTCAAACTCGAGAATACTGATTAAAGATGAAAGGAAACTATCAATGTGTTATTTTTTCGCTATATGACTTGATCACTAGTATATAGTATAGCATTATAAGTTTTTCTCTTGCATAGTATTTATATATAGATCTCCATACCATATTAAAAGTATTACATTATTGTAATTTCTTATTGAATATAGTAATGTTCTTCTCATACATTAAGTGTATTATTTGATTTTTTTTTTCTTTTTGTTTCCATTTTTTTAGAGTGAAGATGGAGATGTCATTGACTGCATTGACATTTTCAAGCAGCCAGCTTTGTATCATCCTGCCTTGAAAAATCACAAAATTCAGGTTCATTCAATAATTAATATCAATTTACATTAACAATTATAGAAAATAGCTTAATTAATTAGGAGTAACTTTAATACATCAATAATTCTTTTTAAAAAAATGAAAATTCACCATCAGATCACCAAGTATATAATAATTACATATAACTGTTTATAAAAAGGTGGAAGTAACTAGTAATATAAAAATAAAGTGTGTTATTCAGTATCTACTATAATAGATTAAAATATATTGATATAGCTATAAAAAACAATTATTGTCAATATATACACATATCGTATTAAAGATAATGAAAAAAATTGAAAAATGATAGATTTTCAAAAAATAAGTAAAAGCAGAATGAAAGACTTTCCGTCAGTTCCTTTTCGATTAGCTACTTGGGATGAATCACACAGAGGCGGTCTCAAACATAAGAATACAATATTTTTCAAGAGACAGAAGGCATAAGAGAGATGAGGAACTTCTCTCCTATAAATCTTCTTTGCACGAGCTTCTGTAAACCCCGAAACAAACTCCAATTACATGTGTGAAGCATCGTGCCATTTCAAATCAAACAAGTGAGAAAGCCATAATCTTCATAAGCAGACATCTGAGTCTAGCTTTCAATTAGCGAAATACTTATTTTTTGTCAAAAACTAAATATCCAATTGATAAAAATGGAAGAAAGATGACATGACCTTTTATGACTATTGCTCATTTTGAGCATAAAGCGGTTTCTTCCTATCCGTATGAATCGGACAATACTATGCTACGTTAAATCGTCAAAGAAAAATTAAAGATATACTTTTGAATTCCTTTATAAATTCTGATTCTGACAAGCAATTGATGAGAAGCGGCAGAGTCATCCTTGTCTAAGGAGTTGTCAATTGGCACCCTTTAGAGAAAAAAAAATGGAGTAAACTGTTTGTAGATAGATACACAAAAATTATTTATAAATATTATATGTTGAATTTAATTTTTTTCGTCTATTTACTTCTTATATTTTTTTACGACAGATGACACCTAGCTATAATACAATGACGGAGACTACAAAAACAAATGATCAAGAAAAATCATACAAATGTGTGACAACACAAATATGGCATAAAAGTGGAAGTTGTCCAAAGGGGACAATTCCAATTAGAAGAACACAAAATATTAAGAAGGATCAAATAATGAAGCCTAATTTTTTTCATCTTGATAAAGGAATGAAAATCAAAAAGGATATCAACCTTACACAAAAAAATCACTCAGTAAGTTCTCTAAAATATTTGTGTGATTTTTCTATCAGTATAATTTAATTGATAATAACAAATTTACGAGAATGTACTAATTAATACTTGTTATAAAAAATTATAAAAAAAAAAACTTATTACATTTTGGATAAATAATTTATACATATTATACTAAGAGAATTTCTAACCTCTTTTTTTTTTTTTTTAAATGAAGATGGCTATATTGCTTACAGAAGGATATAGATATGTTGGAGGAAAAACAGATATGATAACTAGGAATCCTCATGTTGAAGAAGATGATGAATATAGCACTTCTAGACTTACTCTCAAGAGTGGATCTTACTATAATTATCAAGACATTGAATCTGGATGGACGGTTAGTACTTGATTTTCGATTGATTTCATAAAGTATAATTACAGTCAAATCTCTTTATAACAACATATCGGTCACCTCAATAGATCAATACCACATAAAACCTATGAAAAATGTTGTTATATTCTTTTATTAATATACTAACATTATACTAAATAGTTGATTTTTAACATTTTAGGTAAATCCAAGGGTTTATGGTGATAGGCAAACAAGACTTTTCACTTATTGGACTGTAAGTATTTTTAGTTTTTTTGTATTGTTAATTAATTTATATAATTAGTTAAATCATATACTAATTTAACTTGTATTTGAATATTTAAATGATATGTAGAATGATGGCTCAAAAGAAACAGGATGTTTTGACTTAACTTGTCCTGGTTTTGTACAAATTAGTCATGAGATTGCACTTGGTGCTGCTATATATCCAATATCAACTCAATATGGTCTTCCATATTCAATTACTATTTATATCTACAAGGTTAGTAATTAATTATCATTGCACATTTTATTAATTCCTATCTACCTTCACAAGACAAGATTACGTACACACTACCCTCCTCGATCAGATCTCAGAGATTATATATACTGAGTGATCTTTATCATAACAATTTCTTTTTTTTTTCTTGTGCTAATTAATTATTATAGGATTTTAATACTAGCAATTGGTGGTTACAATATGGAGGATCAATCAACATAGGATATTGGCCATCAAAGATCTTTGAAGGTGGATTAGAAGTCCATGCAGAAACAGTTCAATGGGGTGGTGAAGTTTATAGTAAAAATGTAGGAAAACATCCTCATACAAAAACACAAATGGGAAGTGGAGCTTTTCCATTTTATATATTTGCAAATACTGGATTTATGAAGTATATGAGAATTCTTGATAATACAATGGAGTTGAGATATCCACAAAATGTTGTTGCTTATTCAGAGGAATATGATTGTTATAGAACTCAATATGTGGGTGATTATATTGAAGAACCTGAATTTCACTTTGGAGGCCCAGGAAGAAATCCATTATGTCCTTGAAATTATATATTTGAGTTTGTTGAGTTTATTGTCAATCTTGATTTCTCAAGGGTCTTACGGTAACAGTCTCTACGTACTTCCACGAGGTAGTGATAAAATCTGTGTACACTTCATTCTCTTCAGACTCCACTTGTGAGATTTTACTGAATATATATATTGTTGTTGACTTGTTGTATTGCCAGTCTTGATTTAACTTTAATGAGGAAGTGTTTTTTTCTTCTTGATTTCTTGGCTAATGTTCGATTTTTAATTTGAAACTAGACTAATTTAGATTCATACCAAAAAATTCCACTTTAGAGATAATAGTTTGGAGAAAGTTTTTCTAACAGGAAAATTTGATTGATTAAGCTAATGAGAGTCAATTTAAATAGTTGTGACTTTATAAAAGAGAGATGATTATAATTATGTTGGTCCTAACTATTACGTGGAAGGTAAAATTCAAACAAATTTTTACAAATATTTCAATTGTAAGGGCATTCATAAATTCTATGGTATGAAAAGTTCGAGTAGTGCTTTGTACTCCCTTCATTTCATATTATTTGACTCTGATTGACCTAACATAACATATTTATTTTTTCATAAAAACATATTTTACTAAACTAATCTTATTAATGATATTTTGAAATTCTAAATTTTACTATACCTATTTTGTGGAATTATTTAATATTAAGAACAGTATAAAAAACGGTAATAAACTTTTTTGATATATTCAAATGAACAAATAATATGAAATATGGATTATTATTATTATATGAATCAAAGTAAAATAAAATGGAGTATAATTTTAAAAAATTATTGAGAAGGAAAATGTTGAGAAGAAGAATATAAAAAGTGTTGTGCAAGTGGAAAGTTGTTTGCTTATTAGATTTTATATTGAAGTTCATAAAGCCTCATAAACTTAGATTTTATATTGAAGTAAACACTTAAAGTTTAACGAAAGTTTTATTACATCATTGAATTTTTTACGATCAAAATAAATATATCTTTTTTAGCCATTTCCATTCCATCATTTACGCGCGTGTCTCACCCCTAGCTACTAAAATAATATAATTATTTGTATTTTTCAACCCGTTTTATAAAGGTCGGATTTTTATCCTAACCCGCTCACATTTTAACATTTCCCCCATCACTTTTTTCCAATTATGTTTTCTTCTTCCCCAAAATTGTGATGTTGAGTGAATATGAAGTAGGATGGGTGAGATTTTCATTCTTTGGGCTAATTCAATTCTTACAAGCTTTAATGACTATTACTGGTGTTTAAATTAATTTGGGGAAGATTGCTTTTTTTAAAAAAAAAAATAAATAAATCTCAAACGATCACCAAAATTTGTGATGGAATGAATATATAGTATGATCCTTTAATAACCTTAATCAATGATTGATCTTTATTCGACTCTTGGATATAAAAAAGTTCTCAATAGGAAGTGTTTCCCCCTTAAATGGACCTTACACTATAGAAATTCAAATCAATTAAGACTCTATAGAAATGTCGAAGATAATATGCAAGACTATAAAAACAAGTAATAAATTCAAACAAAAATGAATAAAAAAACAAAATGCATTATAAATGGTGTTAGAAATTAGTATGGTAGGTAAGTCATGCAAATCTATATATATAGAGGTTAGTTTTAAACATGATGTTATCCATGAAACATCAACACTTATATATAGAGAGAGACAAAATTTATATCATATATAAAATCATTACAATTATTCATTAAATTGATGGAATCTTTAAGTTTTCTTTCTGAAAAAATGTCATTCAAATTGATAGTTATATTGTTATTGGAATTAATAACTTTTGCAATATTTGCCTGGGGAGGAAATACTCTTGCAATTAAAAGTATTCAGGTATGTCTATATCTTTATGAACATTTTATTACAAAAACAAACAAACATAGATGTTCATTTTCTTCATTTTTGCTATTAGTATTGACCCTAAATAAGTTGGATTTATGTCGTATACGTAAGACTCATTTCAAATGGAATCATTTTTTGCCAAAATTTATTTCATATCTAAGGTTCAAACTCGAGACTTTTGATTAAAGATGAATGGATACGATCCATCTCACTATAATCCTTAATGTTATTTCACCATACCATATTAAAATTTTTACATTATTGTAATTTCTTATTGAATATAGTAATGTTCTTCTTATACATTAACTCATTAAGTGAATTATTTGATTTTTTTTTCTTTTATTTACTTTTTTTTGTTAGAGTGAAGATGGAGATGTCATTGATTGTGTCGATATTTTCAAGCAGCCAACTTTGTATCATCCTGCCTTGAAGAATCACAAAATTCAGGTTTATTCAATTAATATAAATTTACATTAATAATTAATTATAGAAAAACTTAATTAATTAATTTGTATACATTGATAAAAAAAATTAAAAAAATTCACGATCCGATCAAGTATATGATAATTACATGTACATGTTCATAAAAAAGTGAAAGTAGATAGTAATATATTAAATAAATTGTGTTATATCTACTATAATAAATTAATGTATCTCGATATAACAAAAAATAATTATATTATCAATGTATGCACGTTAAATCTATAAAAAAAAAAAACAAGCTATACTTCTGAACCCCTGTTCCTCCCATCGATAGAGCCATCCTTGTCCAAGGAGTTGTCAATTGACACCTTTTCAAGAAAAAACTAAAATGTGTATAAATAAGTAAACAAAAGTTATTTACAAATACCGTATGTTGACTTTAATTTATTTTGTATATTTACTTCTTTATATTTTTACACAGATGACACCAAGCTATAATACAATGATGGAGCCTACAAAAACAAATGACCAAGAAAAATCATACAAATATGTGACAACACAAACATGGCATAAAAGTGGAAGTTGTCCAAAAGGCACAATTCCAATTAGAAGAACACAAAATAATTACAAGAAGGATCATATAAAAAAGCCTAATTTTTTTCATCTTGATAAAAGATTGAGGATCAAGGAGGATATCAACCTTGCACAAAAAAATCACTCAGTAAGTTCCCCAAAATGTGTGTATAATTTTTCTATCAGTATAGTTTAACCGGTGACTGAATCATATATTGATGATAGTGACAATCTTAATGCTAGTGAAAATATCGATCATAACTTTGATATGGAGTTGGAAATTATTTTAATAGTGTCAATGCAAAATATTTTAATTTTAACCCTATTTTCTAACCTATTTTTATTTTTATTTTTAAATGAAGTTGGCTATATTGCATACTGAAGGAATTAGATATATGGGAGGAAAAACTGATATGAAAACTTGGAATCCTCATGTTGAAGAAGATGATGAATATAGCACTTCTAGACTTGCTCTTATGAGTGGAGCTTATAATGATTATCAAGACATTGAATCTGGATGGGCTGTTAGTATATACTTTTATTAATTTAATTATAAATAATTACAGTCAAATCTTTTTATAACAATATCGCTAGTCCAAAAGAAATTATTTTTTGACTAGATATAATAATATTGTGGCGTTACCTATAATGTCACAATTGTTATAGAAAAAATGTTGTTATATAAAAGTCTGATCGCTATATTGTTAGTGTTGTGCATGCTAGATTTTATTAATACTAAAATAAACATTTTAGGTAAATCCAAGGGTATATGGTGATAGACAGACACGATTTTTCACTTATTGGACTGTAAGTATTTTTAGATTTTTTTATTATATAAACAAAGTATCAGAATATATGTTATCGTCCATAGTAAGTTAATTTAATAACTAAAAAAATCGAAAAAATCAGGTAACATGTTATAACATATTAAATTCGAGAATAATGTATTTTTTTTTGGATTTTTAATTAATTCATATAATTAGTTAAATTATTTACTAATTGAATTTGTGTTTGGTATTTTCAAATAATATATAGAATGATGGCTCAAGAGAAACAGGATGTTTTGATTTAACTTGTCCTGGTTTTGTACAAACAAGCCATGAGATAGCACTTGGTGCTGCTATATATCCAATATCAACTCAAAATGGTCTTCCATATTCAATTAGTGTTTTTATCTTCAAGGTTAGTAATTAATTATCATCATGTACATTCTATTATTTTTATCAGTGTACGTAATTGAATCGGTTATAATAGGTTAATTATCACTTTATTTTTTTAATTTTCATGTAACTTAGGTTTGTTACGAAGAGTTACCTAGATATCTTTATAGGTCAACTTAATCTGATGTGGTAAGAATCAAATCACTAACAAATCACATCAACTTAAACTCTTACAAGTAATATATACTGATAGTGGAAGAAATTATTTCTTATATTTTCAAGTCATTGAAATGATATTTATATATAAATCTCATTTAAATGCGAAATTTATAATATTAAAAATAAGACAATTTACCTATTATAATAGTTAAGGATGACACAATGGTGTGTAATTTGTCTATTGTAAATAACCTCTCTACCTTAACATGGTGGGGACAAGGCTATGTACACACCATATTCGTCAGATCCCACTTGTGAAATTATACTGGATATGTTGTTATCGTTGTTATTGATGTTATTATAATAGTTTCTCATTTGCTAGGATTTAAATACTAGCAATTGGTGGTTACAATATGGAGGATCAATCAACATAGGATATTGGCCATCAAAGATATTTGAAGGCGGACTAGGAATTCATGCACAAACAGTTCAATGGGGTGGTGAAGTTTATAGTAAAAATGTAGGAAAACATCCTCACACAAAAACACAAATGGGAAGTGGAGCTTTTCCAGTTTACATATCTGCAAATACCGGATTTATGAAGAATATGAGAATTCTTGATAATTCAATGGAGTTGAAATTTCCACAATATGTTGATGCTTATTCACAAGAATATGATTGTTATAAAACTCAATATATGGGTGATTATATTGAAGAACCTGAATTTCACTTTGGAGGCCCAGGAAGAAATCCATTATGTCCTTGAAATTGTTTTATATTGTCAATCTTTGGTTATTAAGTGTTCAGTTTTTGTGTTGGAGTTCGACTGATTTGTAGGTTTTAATTTAGTCATTAAGATTATCATAACGATTAAGTGTTTTTTTTTATGTTTCAACTTGTACTTAATGGTTTGAATATATTTGAATGATTAAGATCTGTGATAAAATTTTATTATCATTAATATGTTTATTTAATTATTTCTACAAAGATGGCAATTTGGTCATTTGATAGAAATGTTTCTTGAGAATCGAGCACTATTAAAAAAGTGAGGTTTCAAATACCAATAAATTTAATTGTAGTCTTTGTGATATTTGACGAAGAATATTTACCATAAAATATAATTCATTAAATTTGTGAAGATTGTTTAAAAAAAAAAGAGGATAAAAACTGTACATTTTAATTAATTAAATTAAATATCCTTGTTAGATCACATGAATATTCTCAAGAAAACGACTTAATATTCATTTTGAGGTTATGTGGCTCCAAAATGTTGGTAATAGTAATTTGAGCTAAGCATCCTTTACATAATATTTAATATTTAATATTTGTTTTGAGGTTCGATTACCAAAAATGTTGGTAATAGTAATTTGAGCTAAGCTTTATGTTAGGATGGGGAAAAAAAAGCTGATTAGGCAAAAAAGATTTTGAAGATCTTTAAAAGTGTAAATGGTTGAAATTTTGAGGATAAAACAAGAAGTCAATTAATTAAAGACTCCTCTACCTAAAATCAAAATTTTGTCAGCCTATCAAATTTTACTTATTAAAAGTGACACATTCTTGATTTATTATTGGCCAAGTTGGCAATGTGGTATTAAAAAAGTTGAAGGAACCTCAATCAATGTTCCAAACACTAATATTTAATTTCAAGGCGTGGTAAAGAAGATGAAGTTGTTCGTTCTTTAATTTTGTTGGAAATTTTGAGTATAAAAAAATTGATAGGAGTGCTTCCTTGAATAGTATAGTCCTATGTGCTGTGAATTTAAATTAGTTAGCCTCCGAGATGGATATCGAATATTGAATGAGAAATGAAGATTTAAAAAAAATAAAATTGTGATAGAACTATTTATATGTTCTGTCTGTCTATTATGGGTCCATGGTCAAACTTTTTTGGCTCTTTCCTTTTCAGGCTTCAACTCAAGCCTCTGGATCTTTACCCTTTGAAGAAGCCATAACCCCCTTTTTCAATTTACAAGAATCATTTCTTGTTTTTTTCTGCTTCACTGTTGATTCCCAACATTAGCCTTTTGTTCATCATTGTACTGTGAGGAAGAGGCTTTCTTCTTGTGCAAAGCAAAGTTTGTGTCTTTTGCTTTTTGGTACTTCTGAAAGTGCTTGATTTGAGGTAAAGAACTGATTTTGATTTATGGGTCAGTGGATTTTATTGTTTTCTCAAGTGAGTCAGATTAGTTTTGAGGAGTTATGGGGAGTTTGTGGTAAAAGAACAGATTTTTATATTTAAGCTTTCAATTTCTTGTGTTTTTGTTTGTGGAATCTGAATTTGCAATTCACTGGAGAAAATGGGTTGAGTATGATATCTGGGGTTTTGAATTTGTGGTTACTTGAATGGTTGAAGGTTGTTCATGTGGGATTCTTGAATTAGTCAGTGTTAACTAGTACTTTGTTGTGTTTGTGCCGGTAGGAGGTAGCAGGTATCCTGTGAAATAGTTGAGGTGTGTGTGTAAGCTGGTGTAAACACTAATGTCATTTTAAAAAGTGCTTTGATGTATCTGTTGAAAGACTAGAAGAGGGGTAAGTGGAGAAGGGTAGAGGGATGGGCCTGTTATTCCTGAGTTTCGAATAGGAGAGGAGTAAGTGGAGAAGGGTAGAGGAGCTGAACCATTATTCGTGAGTTTTGGAGGTTAGCTACTGAGGTAGAGGAAGATGAAAAGAGGCATAGGTCAAGAGAAAGTTATGGGGCCTATGTTTCCAAGGCTTCATGTTAATGATACAGAAAAAGGAGGTCCAAGAGCACCTCCAAGGAACAAGATGGCTCTTTATGAACAGCTTAGTATCCCTTCCCAACGATACAACCCTGGTGATTTGCCTCATAACAGTAGTAACAGTGCAAATTTGTTCCCTCCTCACTCAAGCCAGGTAAAGCAAGTTAAAATAATTGCAGTTTACTTCATAGTAGATATATTCCAAATTTTGCCAATGGGTTTAGGTCAGCCTTTTGCTTGAATTTCCATATTTTTTTGTTTTAGTAACCGCCATTTCGGGGCTAGCTTGTGCACGCCTCAGCTAATTCCATGAGGTTCCCACTAACACAACTACCTAGTAACTCTGTCCACTACCTTGGATAGATGGGGGAAAAGTCACCTAGTGATTTTGCCTCCGATTGGATTTGTCCATTTGAGTAGGGCTTTCTTACATCGGAATTTTTCTTCTTTACCAAATACCAAATTACATCCCAAATTTTTCACTTAAAAGCTCCAGGAGGATGATATTCAACTATGTCAATGTGTTCCCTTTTCTTATAGGTTTTTTAATCCAAGTTTGATGCATAATCCACATTGAATACGTCATTTCCACGTCCTCCCTTTCTTTCTCCTTGTGGTACTCGATACTCCCTGTGGCTGGTTTCAAGTTTTCTTGATGTTGACCCCACTCGTGTGAATATGCTCGGTATGTCAATGTTGTTGTTGTGGATAGTAAGTTTTGCAGTTGTTTGAGTTTGTTATATCTGAGTTCAGAATATTGTGTAGGAGAATGAACACGAAAGAGGTGTATTTTTCTCAAGACAACTTCCTGCATTAAGACATCCAGTTGAGAAGCCATATGGATGTAGTTCTGGTTCAAATACTCCATTGCGGGAAGTTAAGTCTAAAAGGCAGACACAAAAGGAAGATTTTAGAGTTCCCACTTTTGGTAACTCCAAGGAGCATGCAGTAAGCAGAGAGGACTATTTTAAAGGTACCTCAGATTCTTTATCTATAGATAAGCGAGACGGTACTTTGAAGCGGACTGATCAACTCTCGCATTTCAAACCAAGAGAGAATCTTGTTAATACCTTTGGTGAATCACATAAGACCAATATAGTACAGTTGGAATTCAGATCTGATTCTCAAGTTGATTGCACTGTCTTTTCTGGATCTGTCATAGATGTTGATGATGGTAATCTTCTTTCCATTTGGATGACTAATAACCTTATTATCATCAGAAGAGAGGATAAAACTAATAACCTTATTAATGATACAGACTCCCAGGAAGACAAGACGTGTAAATCATCACAAACAGGAGAAATGGCCCACAGTGATGAACTATCAGAGACTTCCATGGTCGAGTATGTATCTGAAATGGACATATCTCCTGATGATGTTGTTAGAATGATTGGACAAAAACATTTCTGGAAAGCAAGACGAGCTATTGCCAAGTAAGTCTGGTTTCTTAGTGATAGCTTTGATTGATTGTTTGAGCTTGACATCTTCATTTTCTTATCACGTTGTGCAAAGATGATCCCTATCATTCTCTTTGGCAGATGGTATCTGTGGATGTTATAAATTGGCTTTGTTTTGAACCTGACTTTTCTTGCTGATGATGTACTTTAAAGTGTATCAGGTCATCACTTGTACAGTGAGAGTAGAAAAATTGTCACTTTTGAGTCTCCTCATGGTTTTGTTTTTATTGAAATGAAGGATGTGCTCCTCTAATATTTCTGCAGCCAATTAGCACCGATATGTGCTTGGTAGTTTAAGTTACCTTTTCTTTCTGAATACATGTGTATAGTATAACCATTCATAACCTACAACTGTGTTTACAAATTATTTCAATGATGCCTATGATGTATTTGTGGTCTAGTCAGTTCTACATGAAATTACATCTCAACTGCACTTTCTTGATGCAACTTTGTTAAACAATGTGCCTTGAAGATCTTTTCATTACATGGCTTAGTCTTTACCATTTGAAGCACGTTGAATGACACGTCACTTACTTGGATGATTGTCAAAATCATTTGTGAACTTTGCCATTTGAATATGAAAAAGAGACGACTTGAATTAACATGCTAACTAGCATTTACTAGCATTCTATAGTGTACTCAATTTTCCCTTTAAAGCTGATCGGCTTTGTATGACGGTTAGATCTAACAATTTTTGTATTGCTAACCCTTCTTGCTGTTTGCTCGAGTTTATTTTTGATGAGTTTTAGCAATCTAGAGTTGACTTGTTATTGCAATACAATGTGATTGTGATAGCTTTCAGTTTTTTTAAGCACTAAGGACAATGACTCTTTAGAGTGGTATGGTACTTATATATAATTAATATTCTTCTTCTAAAAGTGGTAGTAGTCATGGTATTCTTGGAGTATATGGTCCTGTACTGAGTTAAGGTGGTGTGATGGTTTTCATGTGTTGGGATTCTTTGTTCCTGTTCCTGCAATTATCAACTGACGAATTCTTCTAGACAAATTCTGTGTGAATAGTAGGATTTGAGGTATGGCATAAAGGAGGTTGGACCTCTTAGTGCAGTCTGATGGTTCTCACAGTGTGGGTCATGCGTGTAGCGTCCATTAATTCAGCACTTATTCACATTCACTTATGCATTGTGGGGACCATGTAAGACGTGTTGTAGTTTCATGGTGAGCTGTCGCCACTGGATTAGTTTGACTGATTGTCGACTTATCTCTTGGGCCTTTTTTTGGCTGGTTTTCCTGGGTTGTAGATGATTGTTGGGTGAGTTTAGAGTGTAGCATGCGGATCTTCTTTTCCCTGACCTCAAAAGCTCAGATTTGATATGTACCTGGGAATCATGCAACAAATTGTCATGTAGGAGAAAAAGTTGTACCATTAGTGTTGACTGCCTCTTTTTTGTTGATGAAATAAGAAGGATATCATTAACAAAAAGCATCAAGAAGATGCAAGCATTACAACTACAACAGGAAGAGAAAAACAGGAAAAAATGGTTATTTGTGTCGTAGAGCAAAAAACTAACTCTGTCTTTAAGCACATTAACAACTACAACTCAATTAAAGCTGTTTCTCTCGGCTTTATGATTCTCACTGTCCATTTTGTTGCATCTTAATTCGTTTGATTTCCAATATTCAATATTACAGTTTCTTAGAAAGAAAAATGAAGAATGAG